AATATTAGCACAATTCACGCAGCACTGTAGATATCATGAAGAAGAGAGACAACATGCACAGAGTCACCAGTATGTAACGGTTCTCCTCTTGAAATGGACCTGAAACCCTCATGTTCATTCTCTTCCATTTTTCCCTTACTCTTACTTGCTTCCGTGTGAATATGCCCATGGATATAACAGAAATTATTATGGTTGATGTGCACAGCAAGCCTAGTAAGAAGATCTGGAAAGAGGTGAGCCATTGCATTCCTTTATTAAATTTTCCTCCTGATATTGGAATAGGAAGTTTCAGCAAAGTGGAAAACGTAACTTCAAAATTGCCCTTTCCATCAAACATAAAGAAAAGGATATCCATGAAAGCAATAATCCAGATCAAGATGATAATGAACTTGACTCGATGAACAGTTAGATAATCATGGTAGTGAAGTGCGCGACCTGTTATTATCAATCTCTCAACACTTAAAAGAAAGAGTGTGAGAAGAGATACCACTGAACATAGGCCAAATATGAATCCCTGGAAGATTCGGAAGCCATGGGTAACTGGGATGAGCTGCTTGAATCCACTGGTTGATAGTGTCTGTGTATTACCTGTAACATATTCAGAAATTAAGTAATTTTCCTGAAAGTCTGAATGCCTAATGACTGGCCTTAAATGATCAACAAAGGCTGGAATGAGAACAAAGACACTAGTTAAAAGATCTGAGAAGGCTAAGGATGTACGGAGCATTCTAGATGCATCCCGGTGATCACTCTTAACCATCACTACCATTGTCAAAAGGTTTCCCAGTGTTCCAATTATTCCAATACTCGCCACAAAAGTAACTAGAATGATTTCTCTTGCACGACACCACAAGGGTAAATAATCCCAGAATACATTGAGTCCCACTGCCTCAGGGTCACCAAGCCACATGGCATAATGCATTGCGTAACAGGACGGAAAATATATATTCCCTGTTATGACAAATCGTACCCTACTTCCATTAACAAAAAAATTCAGTATGTGTTTATAATGATATAAGTATTGACACTTCCTCTCTTCTTCCACTAGCCTCCATACTATTACTCTGATTCCATTTATATTTCTTTCAATGACTCTAAAGAAGCCATTGCATATATTCTGAAAGCATTCATAATCCATTACCAAGTTGGTGTATGCCAAGAGAATCTCGAAATGCTTATCCTCGTCTGAAGGTCGAATACAACTCTTACTGTGGAGAAACACAATCATTTCATCAAAGCAGAAGGTCATGTATTTTCTCTCAATGCACATATTATTCCTCTGGAAATGAGGAAGACACATGCTCGCGAATATTTCCTGGTGATATATCTTTACTGAGCTTCCTGGACCTAATGGAAAAGTGAAAGGCGATGGGAAATCTTTGTCACCATAGAGTCGCCTATACTCACGGAAGCAGAAATACAGTGTCTTCTTATGATATGATCTAACTGCGCCAGTGTTCCTACACAGTCTCGATTTAATTTGATAATGTTTGAATGAACCTGGTTCTCTTTTACAAAACCTAATCACATGTATCAAGAACAGGAATTTTAAAGGTACACGCCCAAAAAAATAAGGGGTGACTGTGGAGGTATTGTCAAGGCTCGTGTGATGTTTGTTTACTGTGGTTGGCAGATGTGAATGGTTTGAGGAAATCAGTAGGGGACTGGGAGCTTCTGTTGATATTTTGGAGAGCTCTATAGTCTTGAAGGAGGATTCATTGGCGATATGGCCCCTTGTGTTATCTGAAGTTTGAGAAAACCTGAAGAGCGATAATACCATAATTGGCAGAATCCAAGTTTTTCGATTTTCCTTTGACATCATTAACAGCATCTCAACCTGAAACAAAATGAATTTGTTAAAGTTCTTACTTAGGGTAACAAAAATGATTAAAAGTGCAATAAAATTAAAGACAAACTTGCTATGCACTGGGCATGATTGTTGTAAAGTTTACACGCACAAACGCGCTAGTACAATCACCCCCCCCCCAATCCCTTGTCTATTGTTGTCGTGAGGGGGCTTAGGAGACAAAGACTGAGACCCAATACAGGGATCTCCCCTGCCTAGGGCCTCAGCCCTCGACTCAACTAATTTTGCATGGTCTTTTCCCCCTCCACTTCCCCAATCCCTTGCCCGTTGTTGTCGTGGGGGGGCTTAGGAGACGAAGACTGAGACCCAATACAGGGATCTCCCCTGCCTAGGGCCTCAGCCCTCGACTCAACTAATTTTGCATGGGTTTTCCCTCTCCAGCTTTGTTTTCCATACTATCTTCCTTTCCCCCTTTATCAAATAGCCCACCCCAGGCTCCCTTTGACTTCTTTTGACCTACTACAAAACTACACCCACTCCTCAATGCCTACTAGTGTATTGTCCACCCAAGCAGAGACTCAATCTCCAGAAGACATTCTTACCCTCCCAACTTCCTCAAATTCATCAACTCTACCCCCACAACCTTCATCAAGCATCCCATCCTTCCTTATTACTACCTAACAGCCTTATTCTCCATCACTCCGGAATACTCCTCTTCCCACACCGGACCATCCACCACCACCAACCCTACAGAAAATACTCTGTTTACCAGCGGGACCGATTTTTCGTGATCCCTTCTACAGCTCCTTACTCAGGCAACAATGCCTCCGTTCTCCTTCCTCAGAAGCATAAATATCCTTCACTTGATCTAACTCCCTTACCTAAACCACCATAACCTTTTCCCTCATCTTCAACCTTTCAACACTACTCCAGATAGTTGATACATAGCAACTATCGTCCCATCTCCAACCCCTTCTACTATCTACTTTCTAAGGTGTAAGAGCCATGCTGAAAGGATGAAAGGCTGACCTTGTGCCAGTCCTGAACGGCCTGCGGGAACCATAGGCACGGTACTCCCCTGATTTAATTGTCTAGCCCTTACCCCCTACAGGGCACTGGGGGTGGACTGTTTATGTCCCTTTTCATAATCAAGGCTTTCCATGGCCAGTAATGAAGATGTAATACCCCTATTAGGAGCAATGAGGCTTGCCCCTTCATCAAACAGCCCCACCGGTTCCCCGACCCCAGGCTCTCCTTTGACCACGACTCCGAACATTGAAACTACTACTCCTCAATGCCTACTTGTGCATTACCCACCCAAGCAGAGACTCAATCTCCAGGAAACATTCCTACCCTCCCAACTTCCTCAAATTCATCAACTCTACCCCCACAACCTTCATCAAGCACCCCATCCTCCCTTATTACTACCTTACAGCCGTATTCTCCATCACTCCATAATACTCCCTTTTCTACACGTCCCCGACCATCCACCACCACCAACCCTACAGATATCTTAAATACTCTGTTTAGGGCAGCTAAATGGGACCGATTTTTCGTGATCCTTTCTACAGCTCCTTACTCAGGCAACACTTCTCTTTCAACAATGCCTTCAAAAACAAGTGGGCAGAGTCTCTTTCTATACCAGACGCAATCGCTCCCGTCTCGTTACAGTCAGATCAGAAATCTAACTGATCATTCTGGCAACCCCATTCCTACAGAACCTCATCCAACCCTTAATACTTGTACCGGAACTGTCTCTCTCTTCCCAGCAAACTGCCCAGTCGATACCAAAGATTGGTCAGACTGTGGAGAAGACTTATTAGGATGCCTCAAAGACCAAGATGTGAAATCAGTGCATTGCTACACCATTCCTCCTAGAAGTCGACAAAAGAAACGGATGAACATTGTCAAAATTACTTTCCGTACACATGACCATCCCTTACGTATCTACATTGGTGGACAATCCCTCCCTGTTCGACCATACCAACCCCCTCCCCGTCAATGTCAAAACTGTTGGCGCTTTGGACATCCTGTCAAACATTGCCGTTCCACAGACCGATGCCCTCTATGTGCCCAACCCGGTCATAACTGATCAAACTGCTCTGCACAAACACGTACATGTGCTAACTGCGACGGCCCTCATAATGTATTTTACAGAGGCTGTCCCACTTACAAGTTTGAGTCTGAGGTAGCAACTCTCAGATACAAAAATGGTCTCACTTTACGTGAAGCCAGACAGGAAGAACGTCGCCAAGGTTTTTCTCATACTCCGTACTCTAGTAATGTCGCTTGCTCATGTTACAACAATGCCCTTCCCCAGATTCCCTACCTCCTGATACCCCTCCTTTACACCCCCTAGCTCCTTCCCCCCAGATTCCCCAACACGTAGCGGCGCTTTCACTCATAAAATAACTAAGATATAGCTCTTCTACATTGGAATATTTGTGGTCTCCGTTCTCATAACCTGTTCTCCTTCCTCAGACACGTAAATATGCTTCACTTGATCTAATTCCTTTACTTAAACCACCATGACCCTTTCCGTCATCAACCCCTTACCCATCTTCAACTTTCCAACATTACTCTAGATAGTTGTTGGCGCATACCAATTATAACCTGGCATCACCCTTTACTATACCTTCCTATAGTGCTATATGACCTTAGATGTCTAGCCCATTTATTTCGCTTTTAATCATTAACCATTAACCACTCATGCACTCATACATACACATGCACGTGTGCACACATATATGTACGCACGCACAAGCTAACACACGCACACGCACGCACGCGCACACACACACACACACACACACACACACACACACACACACACACACACACACACACACACACACACACACACACACACACACACACACACACACACACACACACACATACACACACACACACACACACACACTATATATATATATATATATATATTATATATATATATATATATATATATATATATATATATATACATTTACATTTTATATTTTACATTTACATTTACATTTTACATTTACATTTAAACAAACAAGCGCACACCGAGAGCGGACCCTTGATGAAGAAACCGGCAGTGAGAGGTTAAAAATCAGGCCGTTGCAGCCACCGTAAATGTTTTAGTTAAACAGTCATGATGAACTCGTGGTTGATGATGAAGCAGAAGAAACACAGCTTGTGTGGGCATGAACGTGAGTGAATGAATGTGCAAGCATGCGTTTGTGCATTTAAACAAGGTTAACCAATAGAAGTGAACAAAAAACTAAGAAAAAAGTGTGAGTTAAAACCAACCCTAGAGCACATTTAGATCAATAAGAGCAACCTGATTTGTGGTATGTAAGCCCTCGGCTCAGCCAGTTTTGCACAACTTTTTTCCTTTCCTCCTTTCCTTTTCCTTCTCTTCTCCAGCCAGTCTTGAACGGGAGCTATGGGAACTTTATTCCCCAATTTAGTTGTCAAGCTCTTACTCCCACATGGTCCAGGCTTACCATGGCCAGTAATAATTTTGTACCTTTATTAGAGACGTTGAGGCTTGCCCCTTTATCAACTAGCCCCACTGCTTTCAACTTTTCTGGTTCCCCGGCCCATGGCTCTCCCTTGATCACGACTCAGAATACTATCAGTACCTTCTTGATATCTCTTGTCACTTGCCCATTCTGTCACATGCCCAGGTCAGTCAGTCTTGCCCATTCTGTCACTCAGACCTAAGAACACTTTATTTCCTCTCCTAACATTCTTCACTCCATCTCCCCTTTCATAGTCTCACTTTCTACCCCTTCTCCCCATATTACTACCCTTCATCCTTGTTCTCACAGAACTACTCAACACCACAACCCTTCCCGTCCTCGGCCTGTCACTACTACCGCTTCTACAAACTTTTTGAGTACTCTCTATTCCAATACCCTGGAGAAACATTCCTCCTCTCCCAACATATTCAACTCCATCTCCTCCACCCCCACAACTTTCTTCATCAGCTACCCTATCCTCCCTTATTACTACTCTGCATCCTTATTATTCACCTCTCTGCAGTATTACCTCATCCAGCGCTGTTTGTCTACATTCAAGTGTCCTGTAGCTGCCTTTCAGCGTAGCTGCCGACCTGATCGATCTTTGACCTCGAGAAGGGTTAATTCTTAACTTTTCCTGAAGCCAAAGGTCTACCTTGGTCTCGATCCTGGGTCCATCTACTACCCCCACCTCCATAAACATATTGAATACTCTCTTTAGCCAAGCTAAATGGAATAGATTTTTCGTAATCCCCCTCAGCCCTTCACTTTGACAACACTCTCCTCTTCCAGCAATGCCTCCAAAACAAGTAAGCAAAGTTTCCTTCCGCAGCTGCCCCTCCTTATCACAGTTACATCTGAATCCCAGGCTATAGCATTATCAACCCTGACAAACTCATTCACTGGCAAACCCATTCCTGCTCAGCCTCATCCCCCTCTCAATACTTGTACCGGAACTGTCCCCATATCCCCGACAAACTGCCCGGTCTGCGATAAATCAGATTGTAGAGAAGAATTACTCGCCTTCCTTGTGATGCAGTGTCAGTGCAGTGTTACACCATTCCCCCTAGGGGCCGGCGTAAGTCCTCCACTAATATTGCCAAGATTATTTTCCGTACACTTGGCCTCCCCTTTCATTTTTATATTGGTGGTGAATCTCTTTCTGTCCGACTATATCAACCTACACCCTATCAATGTCAGAATTGTTGGTGTCTAGGCCACCCTGCCAAACACTGCCGCTTTACAGCCCAATACCCTCTATATGCCCAAACTTGTCATGATCGATCAAACTGCTCTGCACAATCACGCACATGTGCCAATTGTGGTGGCTCACACGTTGTATTTTACAGGGGTTGCGCTATCTACAAGTTCGAGTGTGAGACGGCAACTCTCAAATTCAAGAAGCACCTTATCATCTACCATACCCTCTCCTCCACCTACTTCTTCCTCAGATATCTATTTCTTCTCTTAATAAAAAAAACATTTGTTTCTCAAACTTCCCCCAACTAAATCCACTTCAGAAACCTTCAACACTATCTGATCATGACCCAGGATACTACACTTCATCCATCCTCCAATCTCACTGCTCCCATTCCCTCTACACTCAAAGTAACTGCCAACATACATCCTCCTCCTACTCATGTTTCCCCTACACCCTTTCCACCCACCCCCTCCCAACCTATCATCCCTGCTTCACCTGCATCATCATCCTTCCTCCCCCATTATCCTTTTAACTTTTCCCTGGATACATATGCGAGTCTTTGTCACAATCCCTCATCCTGGATTTTCTCGCTCCTGACATTTTTTCCTGAAACTGTGGTCTTTTTTATACGAATTTCGCCCATCTTGCCGAAATCGAGGTTAAAGCATTTTCAAGGAGATTTAGGGCCTCCGATTCTCCCCTGAAAATTTGAAGACCCGACCGTTATTTTTTAAGTGGTAGCAGCCATTTTCGATGTCGACCGAAATATAATTAAAAAATGAAATTATTTTCTGAAAACTTATTAAATTTCACGTAAGATGAGACCAACCATATATTTTCGGAATGATTTTTAAAATCTGGCATGCGTCCAAAAACGATAATGTAGAGATTTTTCATATAAATAAATAAACATGACATTCCGTTCATATGGAGTATTATATTTTGTTTTCATCATGCACAGTTTGATCTATGAGCAA